CTTTAAGCAACTATGAGAGGAGCTTCAAAGAGGAAGAAGCTGGCACCTACTGTCTTGAGGCCACAGCTGAAACTCACAAAGGATCATCCCATTTTAACATCCCATTACAAGTCAATTACAATACACCCAGATGTTATTTAGATGGGTGTGTTATGTCTGGTTACAATTAAAAATACTCCTGGTGCATCATTTTACCCTAAATAACATTTGTGAGAGAGAGAAAGTTGTGAGTTCAGGCTCAAATACAACTCAAAAAATCTCTTGACCTTAGAACTAAGACAACTTTATTACCCAATGTATGTATTTTACAGTGTTTTTTTTACTTCTGTCAGCCAAGTATTTAAAAAAGCTTAGGATATGTGTGCACCAAGGTAAAAGGAAGATGAAACCATCCTCTAGAGTGGGAAAATGAGGTATTGAGTTGGGTTAAGTATTTGCACTCTGGGATAGAATCCTGATTCTGCTACATATTTATTCTATGACCTTGGGCAGCTTAGTAACGTTCTCTAAGCCTCAATTTCCTTTTCTGACAAATGGGCATAATAGTTCTTACCTCATAGGATCACCATGATAATTAAGTTAGATCCTCTATGTACAGTGTGTGGAATATAGTAAACATTCAATCAATGATTTGGGCATGGACTCTATGGTTCTAAACCTTTCCAGGAAGGAAAGCAAAGGAGAAACAGGCCGCTGTACAACTGGACCAAAATGGTGGAGAGGGCCACACAGGAGGGGCTGAGGGCCCCTTCAGAGCTAGGGGTGGCCAGTAGGGCCTTTGGAGTATGAGACTGTGTGGCTCCCTTTGGAGAGCTCAGTCTCTCACTTCTAAATGACTCTGTATCTGCCGGTCCCTGGCAATTTCCGAGACTTTATCCTTCAGAGCCCTCAATTCCTCAGCCACAGTCACTGCCCTCCTCTGCACCCTCCATTCTGCCCAGGCCTCTCGTTGCTGGGATTCCAGAATGTGCTTTGACCCACAGCCCCACGCCTGCCTCCAGAACCCTGTCATCTGAGATGAACCCATTCTTTACTGAGTGGCAGATGGGGAAGGCATGGCTCTTGCAGACACACCCTCATCTTCCTTCCTATCTCAGCTGGAAAGTTGGGCCAGACCTGAAAATGTTGTGCTGTGCCTCAGAATTGCAGGCAGAGCAACAAGCACAGGGCGTTCAGGCCAGTCGAGGCTCCAGGGGTCCCAGCTGAACCGAGCCAAATCGCCAGTTCCAAATTCACAGCAGTCGGGCCCCTGGCAACCACAATCCTCAAAGTCCAAGAGGGAGAACTTGCCAGGAGGAGGTGAGGGTAATCCACAGTGTCAACCGCATTAGGTAAAGGAGTATCTGATGAGAGAAACTCATCTTCTAAAGTGCCAAAAGAATCATTTAAGCCATGCATGGTTTCCAGGGTAACTAAGAGAGCCATGAGTTGCACTTCATCTTTTTGGGGGGTCCTTGTGCCCTTCCCTTAGGTTTACTGTTCTCCATGCCCCTTTCTATTACACAGGATAAATAACTCCAGGAAGGAGTTCTTTACAGCGCGTTTTGGGGCATGCCTGCAAACTAGTATTTTTTTCCCCCACTGGCAATGTAAGATCTAAACTACCACTTCAGAAATGTAATTACTGTTTGCAGTCTCACTAGAAATCACCATTGGTCGAAGGCTCTGTGGATGTGGTAAGCATTACCATACGTCAGGTTCTTAACATGGCACAAAATGATGGCCTGGAATGCACACACCACAACAGGCTTTCCGTTTTTGGTTTTCTGACATGTAGAAGCATGCCACATGGATCAATGAACCTAATGGCACAGTCACATATTATCAGACGTTGAACACATGGCTGGGCTCTTTATTCCACACAGCTGCCCATATGGAAACTTGTTTGCTTTAGGATTTTCTCTGACTATAGGCGGTGATCAAAAGTGATTGAGGAGAGAGAAATAAATCTGTGAGTAGTTCACACCCTAGTCATCAAAAAAGTACATGTGATATTTATGGGAAATTCCTAGATTGGAACTTTAGTAAGCATAAGGTTCTTATAAATATATCAGGAAATAAACATTCTCATAAATCAAGGGTTTCTCAACCCTGGTGCTACTGGCATGTCAAGGGGTGGTTCTCTGTTGTGCGGGGTTGTCCTGTGCATTAGAAGATGTTCAGCAGTGTCTCTGTCCCTGGCCTTTACCCCCCAGATGCCGGTAGCAACTCCCTCCTCCGCCCAAGTTATGACAACTGAAACCGCCTTCAAATATTATCAAATGTCTCCTGGGATTCAAAATCACCCCTGGTTGTGAACTACTGTCATAAATATATGGGGAAACTCCATAGCAACGTTCTGACAGCATAGTTTCAAGGTTGCCCACTCCTAGTTTTTATCCCCAGAGCATTCCGGACCTTCTCAGCGGCTGCCACAGCTCAAGGGTTCCTTGTCACACTTCTTCCCAGAGCCTGGCTTTAAGGCTGGACGCCGCCTCTCTAAGGACCTCCTGTTTTGATGCTACCAAGAGACAAGTGCATGGGTCCTTTTCATTTTAAACCTTTTCATTTTACTACTAACCATTTCACAGAAACAAGACATAACTAAAACAACAAACATGGAAAGGGTTTTAATCAAAGCTGCAGGGAACAGAAACCAACGTCAACTGGCTCAAGTAAAGGGGCCCAGAAACATCTATGTCATGCACAGGAGACCGAGTCCAGCTGGATCTCCTTCAGACTGGAAATGGGACCTGGGAAGTGGCCAGAAACTAAGGCGTCTGCTCTCCCCAGGGCCACACGCTTGTCCTCTCCATCTCTTTCTGTCCTTGTCTTACACATCTTACTCAGGGCCCACGTGGCCTGCAGCTTGGCACTCAGTTTGCAAGGCTCTCAGAGTCCCAATTCCAGAATCCCAAGGGAGAACTCGATTGGCTTTGGGTATCTTTTCCTGCCAGATCACAGGCCTTGCACCAGCTGAGTCTCTTAAATTTCAGCGAGTGTCATCCCTGCATCCGAGTGCAGTGTTTGTGCTGCTTACTTCGGGGATCCTGTGAGATAGCAGATATAGATGTAACCAGGCTTTGAGAAGTAAAAAAGCACTGTACAGATGAAGAGTGGAATATTTATTTTATGATCATATTATAGAAGAAATCATAGAAAAGTTGGAAATTTACAGTGAAAGCCATGGGAGGAGTTTGACATAGTAGAAAGAGCACAATGTGAAGACGGAGATCTGGGCTGTGTGGCTTTGGGCAAGTCACTTCACTACTCTGAAATTACAGGAATATAATATCCGTTTTACCTCCTCATGGGACTTTTAGGTGGTTCAAATGAGAAAACACTTAGATGGTTCATTGAGAAAACACTCTGCAGTCTCTGCTCTCAACCGCTATTATCACAGTCCTCTCTAAGTCAAAACCACTGCACGGACAGGCACCGCGAGTTAGGGGGCAGGTAGCAGTCAGCACTGAGCTGCAAGGCCGCTGAAAGGGAAATTCATTCTCTCACACAACAGAGAGGCCAGAGCCCGGCTCAGCCTCTGGGCACAAGACAAACCGGAGCTCCTGCTCCATTTCCATGATGTGCTTGCTGCCCGCCTCCTCCTTGGTTAGCTTCCTCCCAGCCTGACTTTTCTCATGGTCACAAGGTGGCTGCCTATGACCTGGAACGACCTGCTGCCTTGCTTGTTCGTTTCCAACAAGACAGGGAACCTCTCCCGAAAAAAATATATAGAATTAAAATATTTTCTTTCTGTCTGTTACGATTCAGGACACGACCCACCTGGACTAGTAACTAGTACTGATCACCTGAAGAGGGCCCGGTGCTCGTGGGCCCAGGCCTGAGGTCCTGGTGCAGACACCAGCAAGGGGGAGTGTCTCACCTTCCTTGCCCTAGACTCGGAAACAGGACCCACCCCAGGGACTGTGGGGGGGGGTCAACTTCCTCTGAGTCCCTGGGGTTCTGTTAGGAAGGAGGAAGCAGGAAAAGGGACCCTGCTCTGCTTTGGCAACTGGCAGTGTGCAGTCCACGTGGCCTGGCTCAGAACGCACCTTCACGTACCGTGTGCATACGTAGCAGCCAAATACTGAGGAAAGGCAAAACATCCCCCGCCTCCCTTACCTTCTTAGCCTATACTTTTCTGCCAGAATTTCTTTACAATAAGGGAAGAATTGGAAAGAGAAGAAAAATTGGGAAAGAAAGTAAAATTACTGTCCTCTCTGGCTCTCTTTCACAGCATCCTGGGGGATTATAATAGTGACCTCAAGGTGACCACTGGGGTCATGGTAACAGAAAATGCAGTGTTTCAGGAGTAGGTCAGTGGAATATGATCTGTAAAGGCTGATACACAGGTTGAGGCCACCTGCACATTGTAAAGGACCTTCCTAGTGCCAGCCTCCTTTGCCCAGCCTCTCCAGATCCAGCCCGGTTCATTGGCATAAGCCGCTGAGCCCTTACACTCAGGCAGAGACGAAGAAAGCAAGGCTGCAGATGTGGCCTCTCCCCATTCAGAGATGTCTGTCCTCAAGGGATTTTTGGCATTTTGGAAATACAGCACAAGCCTCTCGTAACTATTAAATGTTTCCAGATGAATACTGGCTCCTTCTACCTCGTGGACAAAGTGTATGGTTGGGTGCTCCCCGATGTAGCCTCATAGATCAGACAAACACCAACATTACATAAATCCTACATGTCCTCTAGGGCAGATTTTTTCCAAGCGAGTGGCTCAAGTAAGCCTCTAGGGGGCTTATTAAAAATGATGAATGCAAAAACAAGTTTTAAGCCTTCCATGTCTCCCTGTTGCCTACAGGATCAATTCCACATTCTTCAGGCGTGACATTCCAGGCCGCCATGACCCCTTCCTTCCTTCCTCTCTAGCAGTCTGATTCCTCTCCCAGCCTGGCTGAGCAGCTCTCAGGTCCTGAACCTGCCCTGTCCCTGTGTCCTTCCCTTTTCTCTCCACTCATTCACTGTTTTCCAAACTGCCAGTTAAATTAACCGAAGCCCCTTGCCATCTCCAGGTCCCAGGCCCATGTGCCCACCCACCCTTCCTGCCATCACTGTAACTCCAGTAGCAGAGGTTCTCAATCCTGGCTGCACGGTAGAGTCACCCTGGGAGCTTTAAAACAACATTGATGCCAGCTCAGACCCAGCAGATGACATTGTAGATGAAGTAAGTCCACTTACTTACGAAGCAGCAATGGCGAGAGGAGAAATGCAGGACCTCTGGACTGGGAATGCCTGAAACCCAGCTCATCTTCCTTCTGCCCTCGTGTTCTTGGGCAAAGTCTCTAGGGACTTCTTCCTGCTTCTAATTCCTTATCTCCAAAATCAAGGCAAGAAATGGTCCCTACTTCATCAGGTGGTTGTCGAGATTAAACGAGTTACTATATTATTAACACTTAGTGTGTGTGCTCAATACATATTATTTACGATGAATGCGTGTAAGTTTCCCTCCAGAACTGCGCGGGTCCCCAACCCTCGGGCCTCAGACCAGCTCTGGTCTGCAGCTGGCCAGAAACCCGGTCGCGCAGCAGGAGGCGAGGTTCTCTAGCAAAGCCACACCTGCACCCACCGCCGCTCCCCATCGCAGGCATCACTGCCCGAGCCTTCTCCCGGTCAGATCAGCGGCAGCTGCAGACCCTCACAGGCGCGCCAACCCATTGCAAACTGCGCATGCGAGGGTTCCACGGTGCGCTCCCCAAGAGACTCCAGCGACTGATAGTGGCAGGTGGAGCAGAGGTGGCGATGCCCTGCCCCCACCCCCATCCGTAAAAAAACTGTCTTCCATGAAAGTGGTCCCTCGTGTCAAAAAGGTTGGGGATCGCTGCTCTAGAAGGCTCAAAAGTACTTGATGCTACTTGACCTGCATCTTGTTCCTCTCTGCCTAGCACATACATAGTACACACGCAAACTTTTTTGAAAGATTAATGCATGCATGAAAGAAGGCGAATTTTAACTTTAGGAAATCATCTATAAATAGAAGAGCTAGCCCCTGAGCTAAAGCTTGGGGATCGCTCTGGGAAAGGCCTGTGAGGGTGGTAAGCCAGCCCAGATAGAACAATGACAGGAGCGTGAGCCAAGGTACCAATGTGCAGAGTGCAGGGAAAAGACCAAAAGCCGGGTGTGCTGGGGTCTGAGGAGAGGATTACAGAGAAGAATTGCAGTGACATGGTGTCGAAAGGTAAGGTGGGCTATTTCATGAAGAGTTTGTGACGTCTCACTGAGGAATTTGGGCTTTATTCTGTGAGGAATGAGTGGCCTGTGCAGAAGAATACTGAGCAGGTGCACCCACAATCAGACCTGTGCCTTAGGACGCCCATCACTTCCAACTTCAGGGAAGGGTGCCCCGGAGCAAGGAGCAAGAGCGGGTTAGGAGGCGGCTGCAGCTTCTCATTTGATATTAGCACTGTCTGTGTGTGTTAAGTCTTCCCAGCACACCAGGGCTTCCGAAGCTTTGTGGCCTCCACCTGGTTTCTGTTCATTGAATTGCTGCTAAATTTGGTGGTGGAAGTGACGGGTGATAACAATAGTAGCTCCTAAGCACCCCTGCCGCATTGGAGAGTTTTATTTTTTATCATTGTTCTCTTTTTATTCATAGTTTATTAATTCCTGGCTTATTAACATACATGCACAGGGTTAAGATTTAAATGGAATAAAATAGTAAGACTCCTTCCCATCTCTGAGCACCACTTAAACAGTTTTCTTTTTCTGATGCAACCACTGCTACTGATTTCTAGTGAATTCTCCCAAACACACTGTAGGCATAAAGAAGAATATATGTATGTATATTCACTTCACCTTTATAATTGATATGTAATTGATGTATCATCAACTGTACATATTTAAAGAGTCTAAGTTTTCACATATGTATACCATCACCACGTTAAGATAGGAAAATACCCATCCCCAAATTTTCCATGTGTCCCTTTGTCATCCTTCCTTCCTGTCCTGAGCTTCCCAGGACTTGCCACTACCTTCCCCCAGGCTCCTGGTTACCAGTGACGTGCTCTTTGTTACTATAGATTACTTTACAATGTCTGGATGCAATGTAAATAAGATCGAACAGAATGTACTCCTTTTTTGTCTGGCTTCTCTCACTCACTATACTCATTTTGAGATGCATCCATGTTGTGTGTATCAGTTCATTCCTTTTTATTACTGAATAGCATTCATTGTATGGATAAACCACACTTTCTTTAAACATTTATCTATTGATAGATTTTTGCATTGTTCCCAGTTTGGGGCTATTACAAATAAAGCTGTTAAAAATATTCATACACTAGTCTTTGTTTGGACATATGCTTTCATTTCTCTCAGAAAAATACCGAGGAGTTGAATGGCTGCATCCTATGGTAGGAATGTTTGGCTTTTTAACTTTTCAAGATACCAACAAACTGTTTCCCAAAGTAGTTGTACCATTTTACATTCCCATTAATGGTGTGTTCCAGTTCTTCCACATTCTCACCAACATTTGGTATGGCCTTTTTAATTTTCATCATTCTTATGATGAGTTGCTTTTGTGTGCATTGCCACATTCAATTCCCATGTGAACTGGCTTTAATCTTCTCACTTCTTGGTCACCAGTGCTGAATATTATCAAGCGTTTTTCTCCCCTTCTTCTCCCTGTGGTCTTTGTTTTCCCTGTTTAAATTCTTTTTCTCTTTCTTTGTCCTTTCAGTCTTCTTCCATCTTTGACAAAGGACATTTCTCCCATATGTCTTTCACTGATGAGCAATTTGCTCTCTTATCTATAAAATTTAAGCATTATGATAAAGAGATCCAAGGAAAAGTCCATTTGCTTTTTAGATCGTAACAGGATGCAACCTGCAGATCATCTTATATGTAACAGAGGGTAGAGAGAGGGGTGTAAGACTAGGAGTCATGAAACCTGGGCTTGACCTTAGGTATGTGACCTTGCATAATTCACTCACCCACTGTAGACTTCAGTTTCTTTATCTTTAAAATGGAAATTATGATGCATACACTGCATCCCACACAAGTTTACAGCGAAGAACAAGTTTGTATTTACTTATTTTCTCAAAAAACCCATTACAGCTTGCACTCTTACAGGTTCTAGAACTGAACAGTGAACAAGACAGACAAATGGAGCTCACATTCTAGACATGTACATGATGTAGCTTTATTCTAAAAACTGTGAAGAACCACAAAAAAATAAAGCAATATTATTATTTATTACCAACTTGCTCTTTCTTAACTCTGGGCAACAAGAGATCTAATTAAATTGGCTATGCTAATCTATCTACACGAATGCATACTTTTCTTTCACAACCAGGCTTCATTTTCCTCACCAGAACTTCATATTTGGGACTATTTATATTCACCTCCCAGCACAGTCCACAAATTTATGAATCAGTAACACATTTTTTGGAAGTCTCTACTGTTGAGTTTTTGTTAGAACCCTGGTGAGCACATGAGGAATTAAGGCTTCGATGTCACTGTGCGCCCCGCAGCTCCGTGACATCGGACCTCCTGCAAAAACCGCTTAATGGTGCTGGTCCTCATTCCCAGCCTGGGAAATGGTTGAGTGATATTTGAATTTTTTTTCTCACACATTTCAAAAGGCACATTAACCTTTTAAGTGGGCCTCTTTCCCTGTTTCTCCCCAGCAAACTAGCAGACCTACAGTTTAGCTTATATCTCCAGTGAACCTACTAATCGCCTCCCAATTGCCTTTAGTTCATATCACCAATGAATTTAGCAGTTCTCTCTCAATTGCCTTTTGCCACAACCTCTACCATTTTTTAGAGTGCCTATAGGCTTAATTATCTCTACATTGTGTTGCAAATAAAGTCAACTCTTTGGGGGAAAAACAAATACCATTTTAAGTGTATGATTAAATGAAGCAAGCAAGGACGGAAATTGCAGTGCTGAGAAAGAAGCATCAAAACATTCTGGTTCCAAGAGACCACAGTGATCCTGGTCAGGTTCCATAGCCCGTGAGTCAGCACTTGGGTGATATCCCCTCCGGGCTTAAAGCGTTTCCTGGAATCCGGTAGGTTTTTATCCATCCATCCCAACATGTAAAGGTCATGTCCATTGTGACTTCTAAAGTTGTAGGACACATCTGAGAACACTTAGGGTTAGTTTGTTGGTTGACACTCCATAATATCAATAATGTTGTATTCATCTCTTTTTATTGTGATATAATTCACATACCATAAAATACACCATTTACAGTATAAAATGCAGTAGTTTTCAGTGTATTCACAAGATTCTTCCCTTTATTTTGTTTCCTTTTTTTTATTTCCTAGGGAAGAGGGAGAGCCCTCGTTATTCACACATTGATCCAACACATAGTTACTGAGCACCTAAAAAGTAAAAACAAACAAACAAAAACCCTGATCTCATGGAGCCTGCATTCTACTGGAGAACACAAAAAATAATGAAATAAAATAAGTAAACTATAGAGCATGTCAGAGGTGATAAGTAAATGGAGGAAAGACAGTAGGGAAAGCATACAGGGTCTATCAGTCGCAGTGGGTAAGGGGAGATTGCGATTTTTAATTGGATGGCTTGGGAATGTCTCCTGAGCAGGTAGCATTTAAAGATTTCAAAGAAATGAGGGAGCAAGTGATATGCTCACATGGGGGGTGGGGATCCAGGCAGAGGAAATAGTAGTACAGTAAATGCAGAGATCCCGAGGTGAGAGGAGTGTTCCAGAAACAGCCAACAGGGCAATGTGGCAGGAGCTTACTGAGTGAGGAGGAGAATGGTGGGAAATGAGATCCAAAACGTCAGTGGTGGATAAATCAGGTAGGGTCTTGAGCCACTTGTAGAAATGTTAGCTTTTGTTCTGAGGAAGATGGGAGCCACTGTACAGTTTTGAGGCGAGAAATGCCATGAATCGGCTCACTTTGAGCAGGATCATGCTGGCTGCTGTGTGGACTGCAGAGGGCAAAGGATGAAGGAGACAGCCTAGTCAGGGGGCTGAGTGCAATAATCCAGGACTGGATGGAGCTGGACCAGGTGGCGATGGGGAAGATGGTAAGACATGGTAGGTTCCAGATACATTGTGAATGCAGAGCCAACAGGCTTGGCTGATGGGTAAGATGAGGGGCAGGAGAGAAAGAGAAGCCAAGGATGACTCAGATGAAATCTGCAATGCTGAGTGGTGACAGCCAATTGGTGCGATGGGGCAGCTTGTCACACTGCATTTAGCCCATAGGAAAGTTAATTGAACATTTAAGCTTGAAGACATGTAAATTGTTCTGGAGTTTCTCAAATTAATAAAACACAAATAATCACTTGTTATCACACTATTTCCAAAATATAATTCAGCTATTTAAACATCAAATTGCCAAATAGATTGTATGTATGGTTTTATTTCTATTTTGAAGCTAAAGACTGTTACTTAATAAGTGGCCAACTCCCCTAATTGGGAAATTTAACACACTGCAATTGTTGTTGGAAATTAGCAAAGTGATCAGTTCTGTTTAGGGGTTACTCTTGCTGTCTAATGTAATTGTTTGTAAGAAAGCTTTTGTACACTAAACAGTTTTATTTAAGTTAATTGCATCATGCACTTGTATTGCTATCTCAACCACAATCTAATAATCAGTTTTTTAAAATAAACTCTGCACAGCACCATATCTATGTATTGGATATAAGCTTGTACTGGACCTAGCTGGTACCAGATTGAGCTTATCTCTTTCCATATCTCCATTTAGTGACATCACTTTGATGGCTTCAAAATCAGCCAATATAGGAAGATGTACACCATAGAAATCGACAAATTACAAATAAGGGCTTTTTTTCATAGAAGAGGTTTATGAGTGCACTGATGGGAAGGCAGAGGGTAGGGCCATGAAGACCGGCTTTAGGCCACATAGCAGTGGCACAGGAGAGAAAGGATACAGTAGGAGCCATCTGCCTGGGGTGGGGGGATGTTTTACTAGCATCGACATGGTTTAAAATTGCTAGCTTATAAGGATTAATGTGATTAATGTGATGCACATTAAGATTTAAGAAGCCCTACCCTGTTCTGAGTGACTTCTCTAAGCTAAAAGAAAAAAAAAAAAAAAAAAAAAAGAAGCCCTACCCTAAACTGCTGGTTCGCAAACATGGCTGCATGTTGGAATTACCTGAGCAGTTTTTAAAAACTTAATACCCAGACCCCAGGCCAAGAGATTCTGCTTCAGTTGGTCTGGGGCATAGCCTGGGCACCAGGTTTTTTTTAACTCACCGATGATACTAACATGCAGCAAAGTTTGAAAACCACTACTCGATAAACTTCTCCTTATACTCTCCTACGAGGCCTTAACGCTCTCTTAGGCGATTGATGTTGTGGTTATTTGTGTCCACATGTGTTTTCCCACTTCTATCAAGTTGTAATCCTTTTAGGAGTGAGAACTGTTTTTTAATTAAATTTTTATCACAGTCTTCCTAACAAAACAGCCATATAATAGGAGTTTAATACATATTTATTGAATGAATGATGAATGATTTATTTATTTGTAATCTAAAAAATGTTTTCTCAATACCCTAAATGTGACTTTTGTCCTAATTTAAAGACTAGGTGGACATATACTTGAAATTGTGGAGTTATTTCCTGTTTCTAAACAAAGACCAGATCTCCGAACAATCAGAGGCTGGTAGCTAGGATGCGCTTTCTAACGGTGAATAGATTCTCTGGGCACCAGCGCGGCTGGCCACTGCCATCCTTAGGAGCTGCTTACAGAAATCTGCAGCTTGGAGTCCTAAGACTCCAGGGGACAAAGCAAAATGATGCAGCCCAAACCCACACACTCCATGCATCTAATTCAGAACTCCTGGCTGAAATATGATAACGTTATTGTTTCTTCCTCCCCAGGGTACCATTTTGATATTTATGGGGACTGTTGTTCTCACTATGAAGGCATCTGTTATTGAAATGTTCCTTGGTAAGTACTTTTATATACATATCTGGATACCCTTCTAACATTTTCCTAAGGTCCAGGGAATCTGGCCAAGAAAAATTTTAAGCCAAGACAGAGTGTATAAACAATACAGTGTATCTTTTTAGGATAAACATTTTGGAAAGATGTTTAAGTGAGAATGTTAAGCATAGATCAAATTCAGGATGCATGTGTATATATATTAATGCTTTTATATAAAGCAAATATTGTATATTACACATCTCTATTACATAGTACACTCACATATATACACACATATTTCTATGTGTATTCTTCAGCAACTAGCAAATATTTCAGATGGAGCATATTTGCAGACTATGAATTTAGGGATCTTCTTGTTCTTTAGTTTCAAACAAAAAAATTCTGGCCACTGACACAGCTTTATTTTTTTTTTCCTTTTTTTTGAGACAGAGTCTCACTTTGTTGCCCAGGCTAGAGTGAGTACCGTGGTGTCAGCCTAGCTCACAGCAACCTCACACTCCTGGGCTCAAGTAATCCTCCTGCCTCAGCCTCCCCAAGTAGCTGGGACTACAGGCATGCACCACCATGCCTGGCTATTTTTTCTATATATTTTTAGTTGGCCAATTAATTTCTTTCTATTTATAGTAGAGACGGGCTCTCGCTCTTGCTCAGGCTGGTTTCGAACTCCTGACCTTGAGCAATCTGCCCGCCTCGGCCTCCCAGAGTGTGACACAGCTTTAATTATACCATTGGCAACATACTTTTAGAGATGAAACATTTTAAACTTAATCCATTACCACCACAGAATGAAATTGTGGACAGACCCTCCAGGAGCAGTAGGTAGACTAGTGGAGGGACGTGCTATTGGGTCTAGAATAAGCCCAAGGATAATCTGTTAAAATTGGCCTCATTGTTCTGTGGCCTTGTCAGGTAAAGTGATCCTCTGGGTCACTGTGAAACTACTGCAAGAAAAGGGTACAAAGGCCTTTCAGATAGTGTGTATTCGTTTGCTAGGGCTGCTGTAACAAAATGCCACAAACTGGGTGGCTTAGAACTATAAAAATCTATTCTCTCCCAGTTCTGGCAACTAGAAGTTCAAAACCAAGGTTTTGGCAGGGGTGGTTCCTTCAGAGGGCTGTGAGAAAGAAATCTCTCCTAGCTTCTAGTGGTTTACTGGCACTCTTTAGTGCTTCTTGGCTTGTACATGCATCACTCCGATCTCTGCCTTTGTCTTCATGTGGGATTCTCCCTGTGTGCATGTCTGTCTCCAAATTCTCCCTTTTTATAATGACATCAGCCTACTGGATTAGGAGCCCACCCCACTCCATGATGAACTCATCCTAACTTAACTAATTCTATCTATAATGAGCCTATTTCCAAATAAGTTCACATTCTAAGATACTGGGGGTTAAAAGGTGAACACAGGAATTTGGGGGGACATAATTCAACCCATAGCACAGTGAGAATGTTCCAAGTCTGTCCAGAGGGAGGACACGTGGCAGAGTCGGGGACTGGGCGGGAAGGTAGCACAGCTGGGGAGGCGAGGCTGCTCTAGGTGTGATGGAAGGAGCACTGGACCAGGACTCAGAGGGAGGATATGAGTTTTAGTCCTGACTTCACTATCAACTTGCTAATTTTGGCAAGTTGTGCCTCCTCTCAGAGCCTCTTGTAGAGTATATGCTTGAGCTGGTAATCACCAGCACTCAGCAAAATGGCTACCAGGGAGCTAGGGCAGCTCTGTCCAACCCCAACTCTGTCTCTTGGCTAGGCCACCCTCTCCTGGAGGAGAGCAGCACTATCCCTAGCTCCTGTCAGATGGACATGAGAAGCCCCTGGGCCAGGAGCCTCCCCACACCATTGCTGTTGTCCTCAGGGATCGGACAAGGTCCAAGGGTCAGCCACCCCAACACTGCCTCTATACTTGTTCTAGATGCCTGGTTAGCTGTGGTAAACAAAGGGTTGCCCAGTATCCTGGGGAACAATCACCTTAAAGCCCAGGGTCCTTCATTTCCACCTTGTCCCTCTGAGGGGCTACCTTTCTTCTCATATTAACCTACAGGTTAGTAAGTTCCTAACACAGGAATGGGTGGGGCATTGGGGCAAGGGGTTAGGAATAGGATTTAATAAAACAAAACGTAACAAACCCTCAGGCCATTTGACACTCTGCTGTCTTCCCCAGTATCACAGAACTAATAAGGGAGACCTGGCTGTCCTTCTTCATGCCCTGCCTTTCTCAGCCTGCCTTTCCCCTTCTGGATTGCTCATTCAGATAGCAGGAAGTAAAAGTAGAAATAAAAGACTCCTGAGCATTAACACAATAAAGGCCATATATGACAAGCCCACTACTAACATCATACTCAACAGGGAAAAGCTAAAAGCTTTTCCTCTAATATCAGGAACAAGACAAGGATGCCCATTCTAACTACTTCTATTCAACATAGTACTAGAAGTCCTAGCCAGAGCAATTAGGCAAGAAAAAGAAATAACATTATGCAAATTGAAAAGGGAGAAGTACAATCATCTCTGACGATGATATGATCATGATTTTATATATAGAAAACCCTAAAGTGTCCACCAAAAACTTGTTAGAACTAATAAATGAATTCAGTGAAGTTACAGGATACAAAATCAACGTATAAAAATCAGTAGCATTTCTATACACTAACAATGAACTATCTGAAAAAAGAAATTAAGAAACAATCCTGTTTATAATAGCATCAAAAAAATACTTAGGAATAAATTAACCATGGAGGTGAAAGATCTGCACACTGAAAACTATAAAATGCTGGTGAAAGAAATTGAAGAAGGCACAAATAAATGGAAACATATCCATGTTCATGTATTGAAAGAATTAATACTATTAAAATGTCCATATTACCCAAAGCAACCTACAGATTCAATGCAATGCCTATCAAAATTCCAATGACATTTTTTCACAGAAATAGAAGACAATCCTAAAATTCATATAGAACCATAAAAGACTCCAAATAGCCAAAGCTATCAGTGAAAAGAACAAAAGTGGAGACATCATAATACCTAATTTCAAAATACACCACAAAGCTATAGTAATCAAAACAGCTTGGATTGGAATAAGGAAAAAACCCATATAAACCAATGGAACAGACTCAATAGCCCAGAAATAAATCCATGCATTTATGGTCAATTGATCTTTAACAAAGGTGTCAAGAACACACAATGGGGAAAGAACATTCAATAAGTGGTGTTGAGAAAAATGGGATTTCCGCGTACAGATGAATGAAAGTGGACCCTTATCTCACACCATCTACAAAAACCAATTCAAAATGGGTGAAAGACTTAAGCATAAGACCTGAAACTGTAAAAATACTAAAAGAAAACATAAGGAAAAAACTTCTTGACATTGGTTTGGGCAATGACTTTTTTTGATATGGCCCTAAATGCACAGGTAACAAAAGCAAAAGTAAACAAATGGGATTGCATCAAACTAAAAAGCTTTGGCACAGCAAAGGAAACAATCAACAGAGTAAAGAGACAATCTATGGACTGGGAAAAAATATTTGCAAATCATACATTTGATAAGGGGTAATATCCAAAATATATAAAGAACTCAAACAACTCAACAGCAAGAGAACAATTAACTTGATTTTAAAAATGGGCAAAGGACATTAACAGACATTTCTCAAAAGAAGACATACAAATGGTCAACAGGTATATGAAAAATTGCTCAACATCACTAATCATCAGGGAAATGCAAATTAATGCCACAGTGAGATATCACCTCAGACCTACAATGGCTATTATCAAAATGACAAATGATATTAATAACAAGTGTTGGCAAGGATGTGAAGAAAAGATAACCCATGTAAATTGTTAGTGAGAATGTAAATTAGTATAGCCATATGGAAGATAATATGGAGGTTCTTCAAAAACTTAAAAATAGAATTACCATATGATTCCACAATCACCCATCTGGGTATATGTCCAAAAGAAATGAAATCAGTATATTGACGTGACATGTGCACTCCCAAGTTCACTTCAGCATTATTCAAAATAGCCAAGAGATGAATCAACCTAAGTGTATGTTAGTGGATGAATAAAGCAAATGTGTATATATACAATGGAATATTACTCAGCCTTAAAAAAAGAAAGAAATTCTGCCATTCGTGACATGAATGAACCTGGAAAACATTATACTAAGTGAAATAAGCCAGACACAGAAAGACAAATACTATATGATCTCACTTATGTACAACATAGAATCTAAAAAAGTCAAACTCATGGAAGCAGAGAATAGAATGGTAGGTTGCCAGGGGAAGTGAGGTGGGGGAGATAGGTACAAATTTCAACTACAAGATAAATAAGTTCTGGGAATCTAACAGCATGATGACTATAGTTTGTAATACTATATTTTTCTAAAAGCGGGGGGGGGGGCGGGAGGTTGTGAGGAGGGAGGTTCAGTTGCCTTGTTTTTGTTGTTGAGACAGTCTCCCCCTGTCACTCTGGGTAGAGTGCAGTGGTGTCATTATAGCTCACTGCAACTTCCAACTCCTGAGTTCTAAGCAATCCTTCTGCCTCAGCCTCCCAAATAGCCAGGACTACAAGCATGAGCCACAATACCCAGCTGGGACTTTTTTCTTTCTTTCTTTCTTTTTGGTAGAGGCAGGGTCTCATTCTTGTTCAGGCTGGTCTTGAACTCCTGAGCTCAAGCAATCTTCCCATCCTGGCCTCCCAGAGTGCTAGGATCACAGGCATGAGCCACCACACCCAGCCTATAATACTGTATTGTTTACTTGAAATTTGCTAAGAGAGTAAATCTAAAATGTTCTCACTACAAAAAATATATATATATTAAGTATTTGATATCTGTGGTCCCCAACCCCTGGGCCATGGACCAGTACTGGTCTATGGTCTGTTAGGAACCGGGCCACACAGCAGGAGGTGAGCAGCAGGCAAGCAAGTGAAGCTTCGTCTGTATTTATAGCTGCTCCTCATCACTTGCATCACTGCCTGAGTTCCACCTCCTTTCAGATCAGCAGCAGCATTTG